GGGCGTGAGGCGGCCACTGGGGCGCGGCGCGACCGCCGGCGCGCGACCCATTTCACCAAAGTCCTTGAGCGTGCCATTTTTATTGATCAACTGCCGCACTGGGACGCGAGAGGCCTTCCCAAAAGCTATCCAGGCGACCCGTGGGTGCTGGGAGCCGTCGGTCCGACGCCGGTCAAAGCACACGCATGCAACAGCGAGGACGCAGCACCCAGGGGTTCACCCACCTGCTTGCCCCCGACCCAGTCCTCGGCCGCGCCCCCGCCTCTTCCTCTTCCTTGTTCTCCTCCCCTGCCACTGCCCCTGCCACTGCCACCGCCGCCCTTGCGCACTCCGCCTTTCAAGCTGAGAGCGCCGCCTGCGGGCGCCACTGGCGAGTCTTGGATACACGGGATTGCGGGTCTGGCGGAGGCGCGCGGCGGCTGCGGCGCTGGGGCGGGATCTGAGCGGTGGCGCTTGGGCGGCAAGGCGCCGCCACTGTTGTCGCTGCAGTGCGCATGCGTGCGCTTGGCGCCTGCAGGCTCGCCCAGCGAGACGCTGTGCTTGTCGTCTGGATAAAGACCCAGGACTTTCAGTACGATGATGTCCATCCTATATTTGGGGAGCCAAGTGCGGACAGCTCAGTTACATTATCGCCCCCCGCGAAAGCTACAGTAGCGTGACAAACTCAAATGCATCACTATCAGATATGGGTACAAAATGCCCGTGAAAGCAATATGGCCTTGATCTGGGCAGTGGGCACCTGCCATCGGAGTGGTGAGTGTTAAGCAGTAAAGTGCAGGGGCGAAACGCCTGATCAGCGGTTAGCATCGGTATCAGAATATGATTTATTCACTCTCATGATGTACATTCAAGCAGCGACCTGCATTAGGCGGCGGCCAAGGCCCCCGGATTGGGCGCACAAAGGAGGAGGCTGTCACTCAGTCACTCAGGAGGCACAGACCCTATCAAGAAAGCAGCAGCGGTGCCCACGAGCACCGGTACCGTGCAGTGCTTGTGTGCAGCACACTTCTTCATCACAACTCATCACAACCCATCCCCAACACGAACAGCACGCCCTAGGCGCAAGTGCACGCACTGCACTTCCGAGCGCACATCCGCGCTGGCGCCCCTCCGCGCACCCCCGCTTCGGGGCGCCAGCCGCCCCGGGCGGGCACGCCATTCAGTACTGTGCACAGCCGTGTCTGCCGTTGCGGAACGCGCGACGTGAACTCATGCAGGCCACCTGGCAAGCTGCATCGCAGGCCTGCCATCAGGCACGCAAAGTTGACATTCCAGAGTCAAAGGACAGCCCAGCGTGCTGGCGGCCGAGCCCACCAGACACGCACCCCAGCAGGCGTCCCCGCCTAAGCCCACCCGCGCCCCGGCCCCCGCCCCCACGCCGGCGCCGGCAGCTGCAGCCCCTCGACAGTGGCAGGCCCGAGCGCCCCC